AGGTCCACCACTTCGAAGTGTACTGGCCCAGGGAAAGCACGGGCGGCACAACTATAGGCACGGTTCTGCAACCTATCCTACGCCACCTTCTACACTTGGTATTACAGGGGCTGGGTCACCAAGGGGTACCAACGCCTGGGTCGTCCACATCCCAGCATAGCGAGGCCAGTTTTCGCTTCGGGTGCACCGGACCTCATGTATGCTGGATTGACCTCCTCCTCGGCATCATCTAATTCACATGATAGCTGATGCCCGTCCTCGCCTTCCTGGAGAGTCTGACTTTGATGTTGGCGCCGCACAGTGCTACAAAAGTGGTCTTTTGCATTATGATTGTTGATTTGCTTTCACTCGTTGTTGTCTGCAGCCGTACACCTATCAACTTGTCTTTCCGTGGTTGCGTTGTCATGGCGTGGTTGGAATGGTGCCCGGACCCTCAACAACCAGATGCCCAGTGGGTCAAGATCTTTCATCCAGGACCATGGACGCCACAAGAAGAACATGATGCTCCACCTCCTCCGCATACTTTTAGAGAATGGAGGGAGTTCTATGCTCCCAACCAGGACTCAGTCGAAGGGCAAGTCCAAGTCACTACGTGGTACAAACGAGACTGGGCCACAGAGGGCTATCGGAGAATCGCTGCCCCTCACGCTGGTCATGAATTTGATTCCATTTATCCCTCCGATCATCACAGCGTGGCCACGCAGTCTGCGGCATTGAGTATGTCGCCGGAGCTGTTAGACGCGATTCTCAGGTCCTCGGATGCGGCTGATTTCTCCACTGAAGAACTGACTCGTCTCCAGGAGGGGATTTCTCAACAACTGACGGCCCGCGCACGTCTGGCCTCCCATCCTCATCAACCAGTACGTGCATCGCGTGGAAACACACCATCGGAGACGATTGGGGTCTCCGACCCCTACAGGCCCGTGAATCCTTCCGACAGCGGCCAAGACAAGATGAGTCCCGTCTTCGAGCTGACTGAAGACTAGACTTGCATGAGCAGCGCAGCGTACAAAATAAGGGCGGCCTCTACACTTGCATGATCTTGCTTGGCTGTTGTTTGAACATGGTTGTGCATGGTGCTTGTTCATCTACTAGCTGGATCGGAGCCCGCGACAATCCGTGCCTCTTGCCTCGACATGGACATCGATGATTCGAAGCAGCACCCATGGCTCGAATATTCGGTCTGGCATGATCAGGAGTGGGTGCGGATATACACTCCAGGACAACCTCAACGATGGCACCGCGGTGACGCCGTACCTGATCTACCTGAAAATTCTTTTCGTGAATGGCAGCGGGTGACGGATCCCGATGCGCCAGTCCAGGCATGGGACATCCGTGACTGGCAACACCAAGGGTACCAGCGCATTTTGTCTCGGATTGAGTCCTTCGCAACTCACTATCCACATGATCAGACTCTTGGTCAAGTTCGAAACTCCGATGCCGTTCCAGTTGAGGAGACCTTCACCTATGCCACTCCGTTTTCTCATGGTGATCGCCCGGCTGCTTCGCAAATCGCTTCAGTCCTCTATGGCGACACTCGCAATGCTCAACGTGGTGATCTTTCGTTCCCGTCTTCTGAGCGGTTTAGGGCGGTGTCTCGCTCCCCTCGCCGTGGAGGATATTTTGGTCAACGATAGAGATTTGAGTTTGAGCATGTGATCTTCCTGCAGGAGAAAAGAGAAACCTCGCCCCTCGTAGAGGGGCGTGTGTGTGCGGAGTGGCAGAAAACCCTGCCACCAAAACCGTTTTCTGTTGCAGCAGGGGGCCAGCGGCCATCAAGCAAACGCTGGCCAACGAAGCTATGCTTGATGGTGGATGCACGGATTGATCACCCGTGTGTACCTGCTTTTGTGAAGTGATGTTGATGAAAGTCCAGTTGGCCGCTTCTTTTGCCGCTGTGTGTGCTTCATGTTGAACCTTGTAACGTTTTCGACACTAGAGTGAAGCCAAGTGACCTGCCAGCCGAACCTTATCCGACTTGAGACTTGTCAGTTGTACTCGAGACTCATCAGTTGTACTCGAGACTCATCAGTTGTACTCGAAAGATTAGCACCCTCCATCTGGAGTTTAAGTGTGTGTCTTTCTGGGTGATTTGAATTGGTCAAACGCCATGTGGGCCAATGTTGAAGGGTGGCGTCCTTGTAACTCGGTTGAACATGTATTTGCCAATGGCAATCAAGAACACAGGTGAGCACCCCTGGCCATGTTTGTGTGACAGCTGCATGACCATGTTGCACACGTTGGCAGAATTGAGGCACTCTCAAGAGGTGGGTCATGGTTGGTTGTATATGCCTCGAAACCTCAATGCCAAGCGAAGCCCAAGTTGGCCGCTGCTTTGCAGTTTGGCCTCAGGGGATGCCTGTGTCGGTCTCTCTCTTCTTTTTTGGGGGACCCCGCAGAATGATTGGCTTCCTTTTGGTTTCCTTTTGGTTTCCTTTGAAAAGCAACCCAAGAAGGGTTCCCGTAAAAGAGGGAACCACACCCATGTACACCCATGGGTTGGATCCCGCTCAGGTAGTCCAAAGAAAGGAACTGCTTAGGGTCACGGCGGCTCCCTTGGCTGTGCTGGTCAAAACCGTTTTGGGATCCCATTTTGGGGGTTTCGGTGAATTCGCCACCCATTTTAGAACCCATTTTAGGTGGGATTGGGATGTTCACTGGGGCTACGATTTGGATTTTGACCCACGGCATGGAATGCTTCTTGGAAGCTCAGTGGCAATCAAGAGGTGAGCAACGGACAATGTGACTGGGATAGCCTTTTTGGGTGGGCCCATCCGACTTTTAGTGACTATTGTCGGGTATTCAGGTGAGTCGCAATCAAAGCCCAATAAGTGAGGGTTGGACAGTCCCAGCCAGAAACAGGTGCTTGATTCTTATAGCTTTCGGGGTAAGCAAAGGGGATTAAGCTAAAATGATGGAATTGTGCCATGTACACCCAAATGGGTATGTCTGTTTTTGGGGACCCCTAAATGGTGGTTTTCCTTTTGGTTCCCTTTAAAACCACCAATCAAGGGGGGGGGGGTTCTCAAAAAACAAATGGAATACACACCCAAGTGGTACAAGCCACTCCCCGCCGGTAAACCAGCTTCAGTCTTCTAAAACCACCAAGCAAAAGGGGGCGTTCGCCGAAAAAAGGACACGTTGAAGCGTACATCCCCGCCGGTACACCCCTTTTGCTTCCCTTCCAACCCCCCCAAAAAAATGAGGGGTGTTCTCCAAAAAAGGGGCGGGAGCCCGCCCCAGCGCCCAACCCAAAAATCGAAAAATCTCCTTCCGCCGGTGTCAAGCACACCCCAAGCGCACCTCGGCTCAGCTCTCAGGTGGCCCGCATCGTGGGGGAGCTGCTGGTGACCATGGGGGCCATCAAGCGCCCGACCGACGGGACCTCCGGCCCGGCGAGCATCGTGAAGGAGGTGAGCCGCGCGGATCTGGTGGGCGAGCACGTGGGCTCCACCGCGCTGAAGGCACGTCCGGATCTGGGGGGTTCGACCAGTGAATCGTCTGGTTTTTGTTGAGGATGTTTGAGTTGTTTTTCTTCTTCATTTTTTTTCTTCTTTTTTTCTTTTTCCGGTTGGTTTGAAAGGTTGGTTTTGGGTTTCCGAATCTAGCCCACCAACAGTTTTCGACTTTTAGCAGGGGATCAGAAAACGGACAGCCCAGTTTTGACATGGGGTTTGGCACCTTGCTTTGGCGGACATTAATTTTCTAAATGATGTCCCTAAATGGGTTCCAAATCAATATTTATGTCGTCAAACTTGCCGTTCATGTGGAAAGTGGGAGGGACATGGGGGAACTCACTGAAACAAACACCAAGTGATGTTTTTCTGGCATCCAAGGCACCACGTGCTTTTTTTGTTCAGATCTGGGTGGGTCTAAGCATCACCTTTGAGCGTGCTGTTGTTAGAACGGTTTTTGAAGCCGGGGAGTGTATACTCCTTTAGTTTGGTTGCTCTTTGGTGGATGACCGAAACGTTGTGGAGATTGCCCGGGTTGAATATGTTAAATGGTAAAACAACACCAGCCGTTCTGGGCCATATTTGTGAAACAGATCCAAATCACTTTTGTATACTTTTGGACAAGTACCATTTCGCTACTACATTGCTGAAGGTAACACACTTTCGGCAAGCCCATGACAAGGCGAGAAACTGGGTGGCCAGGCTTCACCGCCGGTTCTTGTCAGAGTTGCCCTTGTCAGACTTTCAGACTTACTTTTCCTCGCTGGCAGAAACTGGTTCGCAGCCATGCTAGAGCATGTGGGACAATGTAAGATGTGGCATGGGCTTCCTTCCAAAGCGGTGGATTCCTCACGGATTGCCACGATTCCCTACCCCCCCCTTTCCCGGCCCAATGGGACAACCCTGATCCTAGCGCCCAGGAGTGTTTCCAAGAAACTTGTCAAAAGCGATCGTGCTGGACAAGACAGTTTTCCATTTGGGCCGTTTCTGTTTTTTGGAGAGTACCCCCGTTTTGTGGTTTTAAAGAGGCACCAAAAGGAGGACCGAAGCCATTTTGGGTGTCGAACCTTGAAAAGAGAGGCACGCACTCTCAAGTCTTGCATTGAAAGGGGACATACCAGCCCTGCAACACCGATTCCGGCCCTTGGCCGGACCCCCCTTGTTTCGACTGCTTCTCTGTCAAAGCCAGAAACTGGGCTTGCTTACCTTTTTTTTCTGGCACTTGGGGGGTTGACTTTGATGTCTGGTCCAGTTCTGGAGCCTAGTGTTCAATCATTTTTGGAAGTGGACGCTGCGCAGTTCCTAGGGGCTTCTGGTACTACGGAGTTTGATTCTCTCCATTGGCTACAAATGGACCCCCCCCCTGTTCCCCCATGCCCTAGTTGCGACTTCATGTTTTTTGGGTTCCTGTTTGATGCCTACGGTGACATGCTCATGACCCTGTGTTTCAAAGGGCACGGCGCTTGTAGCAAGGGGACCACGCGCTTTTCTTACGAAGCTTCGAGCGGTTCGGAGAGAAAGGTGAGCAAGGCCTTCGAGGAGGCAATGGGCGGGGTGCTCTTCATCGACGAGGCCTACTCCATTGTCCAGGGCGACCGGGACTCCTTCGGGAAGGAGGCGGTGGATACCATCATCAAGCTCATGGAGGTCCACTCAGGGGTTCACTTGCCCTCTCACCAATTAACATGGAATCTGAGGTGTGGGGGGGGGGGTCCTGGCTTGGGCCATCCTCCTTTTAAAGGGACCATTTGCCGCACGTCAGGTTCCGTGTTAATTGGTGTGAGGGTAGCTTGTTGGTCCATCAGCAGGGAATGACACATTTTTGCCCTGCGCAAGCGATCGACTCTTCGGGCGAGTCCGGTCCAGGTCATTGGGTTTGCTAGGACCACCGGGACCAGATCATCGTCATCTTGGCGGGCTACCAGAAGGCCAGATGAGAGACCAGGGTTGGGCGTTTCCAGCACGTTTGCAGGGAAGCTCAAGTATGAAGTTTGAACATTCCTGTTTAAAGACAGGCCACCCTGACTTTCTGCAAGCTGCTGAGTGCGAACGGGCATTTTTTTTTTTTAATTATTCTTGGGGGTCCATTTGTAAATAGGAAGAAGGGGTTAGTCACGGCCGTGAGGGTCTTGCATGCCTCCATGTTTCACAAAGCTTGCCACAGGTTTTTACGCAGTAGCACTTGCTAGTTTAGGACTCCGATGCAGAAAAGGCCCGCGGTATCACAGATCGTGTCCCTTTCGCCCATGCCTGTGAGAGACTGAGAGACCGAGATGTTTATTTTGCACTGCGAAGTTGGCACAGCCATCCATGCCGCCGCTTCCTGCTGTGGGGCTTATTGTCAGAAGTGTTAGACAACCACCATGGATGTGTGTGTGTTTCAATAGGGGGATCCCAAAGTGATTGGTCCCCGAAACGGTACCAACTCGCAAGCAAGGCGCCACATCCACATGGCCTGCATGGTGGCCCGAAGACCATCCCCCTTTGAAGCAGATAGGTGTATCTTTGGCGGGATCCGCTTTTGGCTTTTGTTTTGCGAAGCAACGACAAAGGAGACACACCATGTCTGGGGATCCAAAATTTGGAGACCAGATGGCCATGGGTGAAAATCCCGTACCCCTCGTGAACATCCCAATCCCCACTAAAACAGACTAACATGGGCGGTACACCTACCCCAAAATGGCACCATGGGTTTTGACCCACGGCCAGATTGGAACCCATGCGTAGGAGATGGCGGACTTCATTGCGGCCAATCCTGGGTTCAAGAGCCGAGTGGCCTTCAACTTCAACTTCCCCGACTATACATGCGCCCTGCTCGGAGACGGTCGAAAAAAGTCGATCCCTTGTTGCGGGGTTCCTGTTGGACAAAATTTCATTCAGTTGCTATGAGTTCATTCCCTCCATGTTCTCGCCCATACATACTGCAGCATTCTATTCAGCAAGGATCCTGCAGCAGGGATGTTTTGAGTTTTGACCATGGCTCAAATGCCACTTAAAAGGATTCTTGGTTTCCGCTTGGTCTACCCAAGGGGCCCACTTCTCAATCCATTTTTTTGAGTCATGGCTCCTGGACCAAAGTGGACGGCCTTTGTCTACGCCAATCCAAGTGACATCCAACTTAGTCTCATGGTGGTGAGGGGAGCATCCAGACGTATTTTATGCCCCCTTGAAATGCAACCGATTGTTGATCCGGGACGTGATTGTCGATCCGGAAGGACCAATGACTAAACGCCAGGGCAGTAGCTCAATAGTTTCACCCCAAACCCTCCACCTGAGGTTTCAGGGATACACGCGCACCGGCCACTTCAAAAAGCTTATAGCTCTGTGTCGATGTTCTTTTGGTTTCCCTTTAACCCACACAGGTACCTGAAAATAACACACGCCCCTTCTTTGAGGGCACCCTTTTTTTGGGGTCGAAAGGGGGGTTCCAACGGGCAACCCGCCCCTTTTTGGGGATCCAACCTCAACAAAAACACAAGCAGAAGCGCATCTCCGGTTTTGAGCCCGGGCTTTTGGTCGGGGGACGGGACGCAGGGTCGGGACGGAGGCCCCGAGCTCGTGGACATCGCCGAGCGGCTCATGAAGAGCAAGAACGTGGGGCTGTCGGCCACCCGGGCCGACGTGTGCCAGGCGGGGACCACGGGACTGGGCGCCGTTTTTTTTTTTTGAGCTGAGTTGGAGTGCAAGAGCTCGCTCCAGGGGCCAAAACAAAAGAAATGCCCGTCGCGTGTTTCTTGGGGTGTGTCCCTTTTTTGGTTTTTTATCACTTGATGGCCAGCCCGGGAGACGTCGGCTGTTCTTGAGGATGCACATGTTGGAGTAGTTTCAGAGGAAAACCACATTTTCACCGCAAAAAGCCATGAACAGCTTGAGGGAAACCACATCTTCACCGCAAAACGCCCTGAACTTCTCGAGGGACGCCACCTTCTGACGGCAAAGAAAGCAACGAACGCCTCGGGCTCTGCTCATTGACTGCGCGGCCCTGCCAGGGCCCGGACACGCCCAGCGCCTGCGAGTGGCTCAAGAGCGCCATCCGCTTTCGGACTGGCTGCTGCGAGGCCGCGGACTGCGGGAAGAAGGCGACGGGACGGGGTGTTTGTCGAGGTCCAAAAAGCGTGGGGCCTTTCAGGTGGGGAAAAAACGATTTGTCATCTGCAAAAGCCACTTACAGGATTAAACTAAAATTTGTAGATGCAAAATGAAAGGCGTTCTTTTTCTTCTCCCCCTTTATTGGACCCTGGCGAACATGGCCTTTTGGCCAAGCTTGATCGAGTTGCGAAATTCCATGTGGGGCGGGTCTCAACACTTGGGACCCGCCGGGTGCTGCATTTTGAAAAGTGCTTCGGAAAATCCGAATCGAACCCATTCAACTGATCAGCTTTCATTGGAACCTGCCAGCAGATCTGCCTCGGACCTTTGCATGGGAACATGAAGGTTTGGGCCCAGCGGGATTGGGGTTCCAGCCTTGCGGGGCGGTGACTACTGGTTGGAACACCAACTCAAGAAAAGGCAGAGATCCTTCAGCATTCCCTTGCTGGGTTCTGGCATGTGCCGTTTGAGGCCAGTGGATATATTTTGGGCTTCGCTGAGCATTTGTCTTTCATTCCCATGTTGGACTGCCTCACGCCCCCCAACCATGTATCTCTGGTGGATCCTGTTTCCCCCTCTTGGCTGGCTTGAGCATCACCTTTTGGGCCATGTTTTTAAATTTGTGTACCCTTTGGTGTGATGTTGCAGAATAAAGATCAACTCCAGGTGGCAACGGGTTCCTTGAATCAAACCTGAAATGGGAATGAAGTGACCTATAAAAAAGTTGTTTGGTTTCTGACCATGCCACTTCTATGTTGTTCTTTTTGTCCCATTTGAAGACGACCTGGAAGACCAGAAACAGCTCCATGGGCATGAATGTCCTTTCTTTTTTGTTGGTTTGCTGAAAAAAGTAGCGGGCGATGAAAGGCCACCTATGTCCATGGGGTTCTTGGGCGCCAGGAGAACCGTGCCAACGGCAACGGCCGCACGGTGCGCAACGTGCTGGAGGCCTCTTACCGGGAGATGGCGTCCCGCGTGCTGACCACCTTCACCCCCGGGCTGCTGCAAGACTACGCCGTGGCCTCAGCTGAGCCGAAAGCCGAAGGCAGGCCCCCACCCACTGCACTGAGGGAACCTTGAGCTGACTCCGGATGAATGAACCCGTAAATGCCCAGTCAGGGAAACCGACTAGCAGGGATACAGGGGCAACCAGGGATACGGGAGGATTCCCCCGTTTGATGCACCTTGACTAAGTCTGATATGGGAAATGGCGCCAAGAAAATTCCCCCATATCCCCGCTCCCTCCGTATCCCCGCTTGTTCGTTTGTCCAACGCAGGAGCCGAAGGCAGGCCCCCACTGCCCCACTGAGCTTGTGACGGGGTGGTTTGAGGGAATCTCGTTGAGCTGACTCCGGACGAATGAATCCGTAAATCGGGATGAATCCCAGCTGAAAGAGGACACTCATGAACCCAGTTTTTGAATCCAGGGTTCCCAGTCCGAAAATGTACCCTAAACACACACACAAACTCATATCAAGCGAACTTTCTGGTGACAAACGAGACATGGAGGGCTAGTTTTTGAACAACCGATAGAACCCCGAGTTCAGTTGCAATCAACAGCTGCTTAGGGTACAGTCCACTCGTGACAAACTGGTACGGATATCCGCGCTTTTCATCCGTTGGCGTTGGTTTCGCGTAGACGTCGTGAATGATCAGTAGCTGTGGAACGACTCCAAGGACCTCGACTTTAGCCAGCAAGCGAACCTGCATACCAAAAATCCCCGTTGGCTTTCTCTCCTTGGATTTTTCCTGTTTTTTTTGTGGAACCCCCTATTACCAGTAGAGCCGGCGAAGCCGGTGGGCGGAAGTTTCAAAAATATAAAAACTATAGTTCTCTTTCTCTTTCTTTTCTTGACTCTTTTTCTCCGTCATTCTTCCTTTCTTCCTTTCTTTCCTTCCTTCCTCCCTTCTTTCCTTCTTTCTATCTGTCTTTTCTTTCTTTCTTTCTTTCTTTCTTTCTTTCGTTTGCTTGTCTATCTATCTTTCTCTACCTATCTATACCGAACTACCTGTCTATCTATCTCTCGTGTCATCTATCTATCTGCTTATCTATCTATCTATCTCTCTATCTATCTTCTCTATCTATCTCTCTATCTCTCTATCTATATATCTACCTATCTCTCTATCTCTCTATCTATCCATCTCTCTATATCCCTCTATCTCTGTCTCTCTCTTTCTCTATCTGTCTCTCTATCCCTCTTTCTTTCTATCTTTCTATCTCTCTATCTCTCTTTCTTTCTATTTATATATCTCTCTATCTCTTTCTCTATCTCTTTCTATCTATCTATCTATCTATCCATCTATCTCTTCATCTATCTCCCGCGTATCTATCTATCTATCTATCTATCTATCTATCTATCTATCTATCTATCTATCTATCTATCTATCTATCTATCTATCTATCTATCTATCTAATCTATCTATCTATCTATCTATCTATCTATCTATCTATCTATCTATCTATCTATCTATCTATCTGTATTTTTAATTATCTATAGATCTACCTATCTATCCAGCTCTCTATCTACCTCTCTCTCTCTACCTACCTACCTACCTATCTATCTATCTATCTATCTATCTATCTATCTATCTATCTATCTATCTATCTCTTTTATCTATCTATCTCTCTATCTCTTTATCTCTCTCTCTCTCTCTCTGTCTATTTATCTATCTATCTTGCTCTCTCTCTCTCTCTATCTATCTATCTATGTATCTATCTATCTATCGCTTTCTCTATCTCTTTCTATCTTGACTTCGCGTACTACTTTCGTACTTAAAAGTTGCGATTTTCGAGCCCGGCTGCGAAAGTGGACTTCGCGCACTACTTTCGTACTTAAAAGTTGCGATTTTCAAGCCCCAGCTGCGAAAGTGGACTTCACGTACTACTTTCGTACTTAAAAGTTGCGATTTTCGAGCCCCAGCTACGAAAGTGGACTTCGCGTACTACTTTCGTACGTAAAAGTTGCGATTTTCAAGCCCGGCTGCGAAAGTGGACTTCGCGCGCTACTTTCGTACTTAAAAGTTGCGATTTTCAAGCCCCAGCTGCGAAAGTTGACTTCGCTTACTACTTTCGCACTTAAAAGTTGCGATTTTCGAGCCCTGGCTGCGAAAGTTGACCTTGCAAAAGTGCTGCGCCTGCCACGAAATCTGTGCTTGACCTCGCGAAAGTGCTGCGCCTGCCACGAAATCTGTACTTGACCTTGCGAAAGTGATGCGTTTGCCACGAATTTTGCACTTGACCTTGCGAAAGTACTGCACCTGCCACGAATTCTGTACTTGACCTTGCGAAAGTGATGCCCCAGCCACGAAATCTGTTCCTGACCTCGCGAAAATGCTGCCCCTGCCACGAAATCTGCACACGCCGCCTTGCGCGTCCGTGCCAATGGGATTTGCGATGCGTCCGTGCCAGAAGTAAGAAAATGCCGCGCCTGTCACGAAATCTGCACTTGACCTTGCGAAAATGATGCACCTGCCACGAAATCTGTACCCGACCTTGCCAAAATGCCGCGCCTGCCACGAAATTTGAACCTTGCGAAAGTGTCGAGCCCGTGCCGAGACCGTCCCCGTCAGATGGCGCGACCGGGGTAGCTTTCAGCCAGCCGGAGAAGCCAAAACCCGCAGAGGGTTGCACTTTTTGCAGATTTCTATTCTCCCGCCACACGTATACGCACGTTTTCTCGCATGCATTCATTCTTTCTTCATCTCATCTTTGCACAGAGCTACCTTTCAATTAGTTTCTGTGACTCGGACTAAACTTCCTTTGATTAAGCCCGGATTAATAAACCCCTGGTTGATTCGTAGTGGGGTGTCCCCTTTTAGTGGGGATTCATAACTTTTGGAGGGAACCCCCCCTAATAATGGGACGGGATTATTAGTCCTGGGTCAACATTACTGCTTTCTCCGCCTTTAACGGGGGACCCACACTCTCGGACTCAGCTACTCCTTCCGCGGGTTTTCTTTTCCACGTCCGAGGACTCGGCGAAGCGCCCCGCGGTCCGCGGGCGGGGCAAGGAGGCGACGCCGGAGCCGGCGCTGCACTGCGGCCGCCGCTTCGAGCGGCTGCGCGCCGGAGGCGGGATGGGGGAGGGGGCGTGGGGGGGGGGGTCTGGGGGCTCTGGGGCTGTGGGGGCTGGGGGCTCTGCTGGGGCCTGTGGGCTCTGAGGGCTTTGGGAGCTCTGGGGGCTCTGGGGACTCTGGGGGGAATTGGTGGCTGGTGTTCTTGTTTGGAGGTCAGGAAGTGATCCAGAGGCGTTTGGGGTTGGGCTGGGTTTGTGGTGGGGTTTTGGAGGCGGCCAGGGGGGTGGTTTGAAGGGGGAGCCGAAATCCATTTGTTCGAATACCTGCTTTGACACGTGCCCACGTGATTGTACATGTGGGATATAAGGGTTTTGGGGCCAGTTTCTGTGGTACCACACAAAACCGTTGAAGTGATCAACTCGTGCAGATATGAATTCCGTGTCGTCATAGAAAGGGTGGATTTTCCCAATGTGATTGAACCGTCCATCTCCCAAAATCTGCAAAAGGAGACTCCCTTCCTAAGATTCCGTTCGCCAACATGGATGTGTTTTGGGTGTGAAACAGGAGCTGCACATGGATTTCGGGCTTCGGAACCATCAAAGTGGGTTTTCTCCCTAAGTCCCTTTGAAAGCTTACCCCTTTTGAGGATGCCAAAAAGCACGCCTAAACGCCGCGTGGCTCCGAGTCTTCGGAAAAGCTTCGGCCCTTGGCCTTTGGGTCTGCAGTTTCGAGTAGGGTGGGGCTCCAAATTCAAGAGAGAGAGAGAGAGACCGCAGAAAGTCTACTTTTCCATGCAGGGAAACCCATTGTGGCTGCCAATTCCCAATTTTCGGTCGCCACAGCCGCCAGTTTTTTTTTGAGTATCACCTATGCTTGTCAGGTCCTTACAGCTCGATGCAGGACTGCGGCAACAGATTGGTTGCAACAGGGCCTCCGAAGTTGGGCGGGACCCGAAAAACAGATCAGGTTGATCAGTTTGAGGGTGATCAGTTTGAGATGGTTTGGGGTCTGTTTTGAGCCACGACCTTGCGCTTTCTGACCTTTTCAGGACGTGGGCGACGCAGACGTTCGTTGTGCGTTTCGTCTTCTGGATGAGAGTTGGAGCCCCAGAATCGAGCAAACGAGAGCATCTGACGCCCTGACGTCCATGGATATGCGAACCCGCTTGGTTCTGGGTGCAGGGTCTGGTTTTCTGAACCGGCAAAGTGGAGTACAAAGCCTCTTTCGAGCACGTGGTCGTTGGTCTGGATCAATCCATGTCAACGAGTCATGAGTCACCGCTTTTCATGAATGGCTGATGAAGAGTGGGTGAATTCAACTCCGCCAAAAGCCATCGGCAAGGGTCCTCGAACTTGGGGGACACGTGTTTTTCATCAAGTCTAAGTGGCGGTTGATCAAGCAGATCTCAAACTTTGGTGGCTCCCAGCCATCCGGTCCCTTAGCTTTTTAGCCTTTTAGCGTTTAGTGGTAGTTTCGATTTAGCCCACTAAAAGGTAAACAACTTTTAGCGGGGGATCCGTTTGGACAGCCCAGAAACGTCTAAACAAATGGCGGTTCTAAAATGGGTGGTGAATTCACCTACCAACCAAAAAGGGATCCCAAAACGGCTCTTTGACAACCACAGCCAAGTCTCACCCGATTACGCATGTGGTTTGACATAGGTCTCAGAAGCCTCATCATTAGCCGAAAGGGCACACTGCAGCCGGTCACCCCTTTCAAACGGCTCAGCCGTTTTTCGTTTTGTGATTTTTAGGTCGTTCCAGCGAGGTGACTTGCGCAGCTCTACGGCTGCGTCCCTTGGAGAACAGCTGCAAGCGAACTGTCAGACAACGAAGACGCCGGTCACAGTGCATCGGCTGCAACGGGGCGATTGTCGTCTAGGTCCCCTAGGTGCCCTTCTCTCCCCTTTTTTGGTTGGGAGGGTTCCCCTACTAAAATAGACTACAGAAAAAAGTTGGTACCCATATTCTACCTCTCTACTGGAGGACTGTTGTGATACCCCGGGCGGCTTTCTTTGGCGTTTCGGGGGTGCAACGAGGCCCATTTAGCAGACTCTCACCCGGAAAATGAGACTGGAAACCAAAAAATGTCCCCGAATGAAGCAATCCTCGGATGTTTCCCGGGATTCTTTCACACTTGCCAATATTCGTTTGTCCCACCTGGGCTTCTGTTTTCTTTCGAGGTCTGGTGAAGGGTTGGTCCAGGTGAATGTGAGCAGCACTCTGGAGACGCTTTCCCCGGCCTGGCCCTCAGCTTTTGTTGATTGGAAAGGAGGCTTGGTGTTGCCAAACCTTCCTGTGCGACAACATGCTGCGGAGCATAGCTCATCGTTTTGTCATATGCTTGACTTCGGACAGTCGGCAATACAGACCCTTGCTCCTGCGCCGATTGGCAAGGCTTGTGGGCATTGGCTGTCAGGAAACCAATTCAGGGACCAAGGGCTCGATGTTTGGGGCGTTTGTGCCTGAAAGGGTGGTGATCGGTTCGTTTTTCGTCCGGTTCGAAGGAGTCTGACACCTGAAATCTTTGGCGAACTCAGACATGTCAGATGAGGTGGTTTCAGAACGGTGTTGAAGGCCACTGAGGAATAGATGGACTGAGTAACCACCTTTTGCCCCATATGTCCTCAAGAAGTTGGGCGTGTTTTATTCTTTAGTATGTGTGATTTCTGGGATGCACATTTGCACTGAATTCCTTATTTGCTGCAAACCATGTTTAAACAGTTGTTGGGACAGTTTGAAGACTTAACATCTTAATGGCCTCATTCACTCTTATTTGTCCTCATTGATGAAATACTTGGTTACCCTCCCACTAGCTAACATGGAAGTGCACAGACCCCTGTAGAAAGACTACTTTCCTCTTGGTTAGTTGGCCATTTTTGCACTTCCACATTAGTTGGTGGGAGGGTGAGTGCTGGCGTTTTTCTTGGTGCATGTTGCGTCTTGCCGTTGATATCCCGCGTCGGACAGAAATTATCCACCTCGAGGCCAGCCTGGATTGGGACCGGCTCCATCAGGGCTTGTACCACGAGCGCGAGTGCTCCCGGGTCCAGGCCTGGCATTTTGGGCCTCGTGGCGTGGTGTTCCCTTTGCCTTTACCGCAGAAAAAAAGCGCGGCTTCAACAAAGACAGGACCAAGACGAACAACAAAAACTGATCTCTCAAAATAAACAAAATAAGTCCCAAATTAAATCTCGACCCAAAAGACACACCCATTTTGTGAGGAATCCTTTTTCAGGTGGTTTTCTGATTGATGGTTCGGTCTTTTTGAGACACACCGACAGGTTTCCTTACACATCCCCCTTTTTGATATTTCAAGGGGAAAAGGACGCCGTTGCCATGTTTTGGGAGTTCCTCTTTGGAGACATACCCATGCTTCCCTTGGTTTCAAACATCGGCTTTCGGGCAGGTGATGTGTTGAACATTTCAGGGCGGCAGGCAGCCAAGTGCCGCCTCCCCCCCTTCGCATCAGCGTCGCCAGTGAGGCCCGGCGTGTCCGGCCAAGTCACCAGATGATGATGACGACGACGGTGGCAATGGTGATGATGATGATGATGATGATGATGATGATGATGATGATGATGATGATGATGATGATGATGATGATGATGATGCCTTTGGCATCCCCAGCCCTTTTGGTGAGGCTCGGCACTACCGAGCCCCGTTTGCGCGAGGAAACGACTTGGGGGCCTGGCGGCAATTTTTTGCCGTGCCCCGCTTTGAAACCCACCAACATCGAACCACCAACCAAGGTGATGGAGTGTTGCTACAACTCAAAAGAGGTTCTAGCAAGAAGGGTGTGATCGCCACCGAAGGACAAACTCATTCAGCATCCGAAAGGTTTCCCTGACATAGAGAGGCGAAGAGAGCAAGATGCCGCAGTTCTGTTTTTTTTCCTTCCCGCGATTGTTGGGTCACCTTGGAGTCACCCGTTTTCAAGTATCACTGAAATTGTGAGGATGTTTGAACAGGAATGGGTTGGCCTCACCCTGGATTTGACGAACTCAACTCTACAAATTTATCAACTCTCTACCGACCTCAAAATGATCCTTCTCAACTTTGGTTCCGTGCAAGAATCGGCAGAGATGTTGATCTCGGATGAATTGACCTGGATGAATAGGCACCTCTGGAGTATTTTGGAGCCTAGATCTCTGACTGGGAGGGGGGTAATCGGGCTCTAAGCACCATGATGCAGCATACCAAAAGAAAGTCCCATGTGGGGCTCCTTCCAAGGGGTCCAACTCATGCCCGGCTTTCCGTCAGTAAGTCACTTTTCATTGAACCGGAGGCCCTGCTGAGCTCCGGGAGCCTCCTGCAGCTCTCGGCTGTCCCCTCCTCCCACTCGGACTCGGAGGACCCGCGGTCGCAGGTCGCAGGTTTGGGGACCCGGCCAAGTCAGCTTCCCTCTGATTGGTGGTGATTGGTGGCTTGGATTTGGCTTCCCCACCTTTCGAAGCAGGGAGAAGGTACACGTCCAAGCCATCAAACCAAAGCACCAATTAGGGGTAAGGTGAGTCAGTGTGGGTCTGGGCTTGGTATAGCGAGGATTTAGGTGTGTCTCTTTTTTGACGGGATTTCCTTTTCGGTTTAGGGAAACGGAAGGGAAGCAGTTTTTGGAGACACACTCACTTGGGTGTGGTTCCGTTGTTTTGAGGGTGCCCTTTCTTTGGATGGTTTTTCAATGGGCTCCAAAGGGAAACCACTCAGTTTGGGGGCTCCCCCGTTTTTTCCTCCACAAACCCACGGCCAAGAGCGGATGTTGGGTTGCGAGCCAACCGGATTCGAGCTCCTCGAGTTGGAAGCCATCGGGGGATGTTGGCTGGGCGCCCCTGTGGCAAGACGAAGATTCCACTGTCGGACTATGCGAGGCGTGGTGCAGGGTTGTGGGATCGCAAGGGGTTTCTCCAACCACTTCTGTGATACTTTTGGGAATCCCCCTTTATATGAAGAAAATAGTCTTTGGGGTTAGGCCCTTTCTGTCGTATCACAGAAGTGGTCATTCCCCACAGCCCTGGTGTGGTGTGTTTGGGGTGTTGTGTTTGGTAGGTTTGAGTGGTTCTAGGAAGAATTCTCCAGTGACGAGGGGGGGCACAGAGGACGAGCGGTGCAAGTACTGCACCAACGAGGGCATGTGCACTATGAGGAGGAGCATTTGCGAAGGTTGCGCCAGCTGCACCTTGGATGGAATTCAGCCACTCAGTGAATGTGTGCTTGGCATCGTTCGGCAGCTTGCATGGGATCAACTAGATTAAGCACCCCAGGGGACCGTTTGGGGTTTCGATAGATATTTCAGCAGCGCGTGGATAGGGAGTGACAGAGCCATGCTGCACATGCAACACGGCCATGCTGCTGGCACTGCACAATCAACCATCAACTAAGCCACCATCCGGCGAATCTCCCCCCTTTTAAATTCATGGGGCTCATAGACATTGGCTCCAAACTTTTTTTCAGGAGATTCGCCACGGTACTTGGTGCTGATATGGGTGTGTCTGTCTTCTAGCGGACCCGAAAATGGCGGTTTTCCTTTTGCTTTCTCTTTTTAGGAACCAAAAAGGGGTTCCTGGAAACAAGAGACAGCCATATTTTGCTTGTTGCCTGCAGATTCTTCAGGTTTCCCAGACTCGGCACCCCCCCCTGTCCCATGCCTTTGACCAGGCCAGCGCTTCACCCAAGACACAGAGGCAGAGGGGCTCGCCACGAGCCGGCGGCCCAGTCCTTCCGCCTCCCGGTGGGCGTCACCAAAGGACTTCCCCTGTCCGTTTTGAAGCGCCCCCTGGAATTTCTTACGGGGGTATGGGTGCAAACATTGTTTCGAGTTGTGGAGCTCTTGAAACAAGTTGCGGTGGGTCTGTGATTTTTTGAGTTGGTGCCCTTCTCTGCTGGCTGCAGAGAGGAAAGACGAAGCCATTTTGGGGGGTCCGACCCTAAAAGAAGACAATGTTAAACACGCGTTGCTGAGGCGAAGCCCAGTGCAAGGTCTGTGGATGGGCGCCTTGCCCAAAGTTTTTCTGCGTCACCGGGGTAAGCCTCCCAGAAGATCGCTGGACGTTTAGGGGGACAAAGCTATAGGTTTTTTGCATACCAAGGGCAAGAGGGTCAAATAAAGAAGCCAAGTCGTTTCCGGAGGCTTACCGGCAGCTTTGGTCCAGTCGCTCTTCCGCGGTGGAAGTGAAGGGTCCCGGAACCTCTTGTGGTTTTGGGCACAAAACCCGGGTCCCTGGGTGGGCAAAACGAGCGGGCCCCCCCGTCAAAAAAAGGGGCTGAAGAGCCTTCAGAGATGGCTAAGGGGGGGAGTCTGCAAAGGCCTCCCTCTGAAACCTTCGCCCTATGCCCACGAGTGTTTCTTCTCAACGTCATGGACCCACTTTTGGTTGGTTCGAAAAAGAGGGCCCCCGATTTTTTTTTTGGCGGGGGACCCCAAAAGAGTGTTTTTCCTTTTAGTTTCCCGTTAAAGCCACTCTAAACAGGGGTACCCTCAAAAGAAGGAGCCACAGCCACGTCCGGAGAAAGATCTACGATTCGCCATTCGAATGTCCGAGGTGAAGCGGAAGTACCGAAACACTCCAGCGATGGAGCTGCCCCTTTTGATGGACAGCAGGAACATTTGCTCCATCTACAATCGCGCTCACCCTGCTGAAGGCCTCCTGGGTGTCAGATGATGTTGACCCCGGATTTGTTTAACCCCTGTTTAAAACATATGGGGGTGTTTTTGGTTTTAGTGGGGATTCAGACCACTTTTGGAGGGGCCAAAACCACCCCCAGATTAATAAACAGGGGTGACACAAATTCGGGGTCAACATTATGGGCCAGGTGTGTCTCAAGGGGAACCCCTCCCATTTTGGGGCGGCTTCCTTTTGGCTTCCCTCAAAAAAACAAAAACCAGCCCCAAGAAGGGTTCCCCCCCCAAAATCAAGAAGGGAGCCCCTTGTAACTTCCAAATTTAAATATGTTGGTAAGGATCTAACCCGGAGAACCAATTCTTCGCATGCGGGTGTATCCTCAAGGGGTCCCGAGTGAAAAGAGAGGGATGTGAAAGCTCGGATCCCCTTTCAGGACACGAAAAAGGAAACCACTGTCAGTTTTGCCATTGTCGACTCTGCCTGGCAAAATTTGCATAAGATGGTTTTCATGACCCCCGTACCGCAATTTTCCAGGGGATGAATGGGAATGGTAAAGGGTATATACCCCCCCCAAAAAAAAATCCCGGGTGGTTTGGGGGTAGCGGACACCATCTTAGACTCAGTTGTCCAAAGCGAATCGACCTTTTGACCTTTTGGTTTTCCCATTTTGGACCATTTTTACAGGGGTCCTTAAAAGATACATTTTGCCCATTTGAAACATGTTTTTTTGCACCAAAATAATGGGAAACCACAATTTACAAGGCAATGTTCAGGTGTATAATGTAAGGATCCCTGTTTTGCCCTTTTAGTTCTGGGTCCTTTGGGCAACTGAGTAGAGCAAAGGGGGAACCCTGGATGATCGCAATGAAAAACCCCAAGACTTCCCTGGACTCGAAAAAATATGCGATCAGCGAAAGCGAGCAAACGACAAAGCGGACATACACCATCAATCTAAAGCAACACAATCAAATGCAGGATTTGCCAAGAGCAACAAAGCAACACAATCAATACCACCTCAATCGCGGGAATCAAACAAACAACGCATCCGAAGAAAGACAGATGCCGAAAACAACCACATATGACAAATACCAGCGGAAGCGGAGAAGACCACAGAACCCGCGCAGCACAGAAGCCCACAGACTCCAAGGGCCGCGAGGCTTTTCGCTTCCTTTTGCGCAGCCGGCCGACCCGCATCGGGGCAAAGATCGAGCTCAACCATGAAGGTCCCCTCTGCCTATTCTGAAGCCGAGCGCTGAGAGCTACAAGGGGTTCTTACTTAAGGTGTAGTTCGGCTGTTTTGCGAGCTCGGGCTGCTGTGAGCTTGTCAGGGTGCTGGTCAGGGTACTGGTGAGGGTCTGGTGAAGTCTCTCTTGCTATTTGGGTCTATGCCGGTGTAATTCGCTCTTATTTTGGTTGTATCATCCTCTGTTTGAGGATACTGTAGATGGACAACATTCTGCACCAGTTGGTAGGTGGCTTGTCCAAATCTTCACAAGGTTTTATCCATCCTAAGTGGTGCAAGATTTTATTCGTTCACAGTCGTAATTTGTGCAGTAGTGAGAAAGAATCAAACCAGGACTCCGATATGTAGGGCCTCATCAGTCCTAGTTGTCGCGTTTTGTGGACTTCTCAAAATGAAGGAGTGGTGGCTTTCCTTTACCCTGCGTATGATGGGGCAACCCACAAACAAATCAGAAGGGACTCACTGTTTTCCAATGTCCTCTTGATCCGCTTAGTGGGTTACCACGGTTGTAAGGGAACCAATGCCTAGCCCACTTTCAACCATGAGGCCAGTGTGTGGAACCTCCAATTGGGGGTGTCCCAAAATCAGGGAACCCCAAAAACACAAAACACCGTTTGGGACCACTCATGTTTTCCAAATACACCTTCGGACAGTCCAGGGGTCACTCTTTTGTTTTGGAGCCACACCTAAGTCTCCCCCCCTTCCCAAATGGTCTCTTGGCCCAAAATGGGCACGAACTCAAAAAGAATGGAGCCACACCCAATTGCCCCCCCCTCAAAAAACAAAAAGCGGCGCTTACCTTGATGATGGGTGGCTCGGAAGCATACACTCTGACACCTCCCACGCCTGATGGGCAACACCACCTAAACATGTCAACGTCTCTGCTCAAGCAAGGATTGCTCAAGCTCTGATGAGCGAGCTTAGCATCATGCTTCACAATTTTTCCTGTCAACTTCTCTTGCGCGCAGTGCTGTGAATTGACCCTTGCGCATGATGGTGCGCGTGGCCCTATGCGAAGCCACATTTGCACGTAAACACTTACGATTTTGCAGCCGGAGCTGCGGGAATGCACTTCGCGTCTCAAAAAGTCCGATTCTCTTGTTAGAGCCATGGCAGCGAATTTCGAGCTGGAGCTGCGAGAGCGCGCTTGGCGTACTGCTTTACTCAAACGTTGCGATTTGGCAGCCGGAGCTCTGAGAACGCACTTCGCGCGCTACTCACGTACTTGCGACTTTGCACCCGGAGCTGCGGGAGCGCGCTTCGCTTACTATTTTGCAATTAAAACTTGCGAGTTTCGAGCCGGAGCTGGGGGAGCGCGCTTCGCGTGCTACTTGTGTGCTGAAAAGTTGCGGTTTTGCAGCCGGAGCTCTGGGAACGCAACTCTCGCGCGAGACTTTTGTATTTAAAACTTATCAGCCGGATCTGCGGGAGCGCACTTCGCGTGCTACTTTGGCAAGTAAAACGAATTTCGATCCGGAGCGCGGGAGCGCCCGTCCCGTGCTACGTTTGCCAAGCGTCGTAGCCTGACCCGGCAAGGAGACATCCACCGCGCCGCAGCCCCGTCATCAAAAATGCATTCTGCTTCAAAACACGCGTCTCGCCCGAGGCATCCTCAAAAAAACATAGCGCGTTCCTTTACTGTATTGCCCCTGCCAGCAAGGGCCGAAAAGTGAGCACGGCGCGACAGCGAGAGCGCACCCACATTTCGCGCTAGGCTGTCGCATCGAAGGCAACTTTTAACGCACAGGGCCAACTTTTCGAGCGCAAACCCTCGATCTAAGCCAGCCTCAACTCGTACCGTAAGAGCCCCTTAGTGTAAACACTAACTGTGAGAAAAAGAAAATCAGCAAAAAACGAGCCAAGAACCGCCCCCAACTGCCCCCAAAATTGGTTTAGCTTCGGAAGCCCAGGGGTGAGCAGCTCCCACTGCCGGCGCGCCGTGAGCCGCACATTGACGCAACTCTCCGGGGGAGTCCGGAAGTTCACCTGCTCCTCCGTGCTGAGCCTCGAGTGCCCGGAGTGGCTTGGGTTGGGGGCTACCAGGTTGGGGCATCCCGATGGACGCGGAAATCTGCAAATCACACTACCTCAGAAACCTGGTTGGCATTTACAGGGGAATCATCCATCAACAGTAGGAAGCCAGTGGGGTTTGCCTTCTTGGAGTTGACACCACGCGTCTAGTGGATTTGAAGGGCAGCCAAAACAAACAATCACCGGTTTGGCATTCAAGACTTTAGTTGCTGAAGCAAGTTTTGGGATGCCAGCATTTGTTTGGGGGGGGTGTTCCAACGGCTGGTTCCTTTCTGGGCGAGGTTTCCGTTTGAACAGCATGCAAATTTGGGATGTCACTTTCCCCCTCAGACCTTGTTTTACTGACCTGCTTAAAACTGGGTCTTCAAGTGGTCAACTATTTTGAGCTCGGGGGGTGGAAAACCCACTTGACACCACCAGAAAATAGGGGAAAGGTTGAGGAGCCATGGCCCAGTTAAGACTACCTGATTGGACCAAGTTCATGTTTGGGTGTGCCTAAGAAACTGGGGCTGCTGACTGGCTTCGCTCGGCAGGATGGCTTGAAACGCCAGTGGGATCGCTTTGCTGGAATTTCCAATAGACACCTGCCTGGCCATGAATGCCAACTTGACTCCCTTTCCATTTGTAGTTTCACCAGGCTACGACTTGTCAACCTTGGACTTGGACCATACTCAGGCATACCCCGTCTGCGGGATCAGTTCGTACCGTGGATGGACAAAATCCATCTTGCACCAAAGAAACACTGGCATGATATGAATCCCCCGGAAATACCAACAAACGTTATGAAATCAACCAGGGTTTCCGAACAGTCGTGCGATTCTTCCTGATTTTTTTGCCACCCTCCACAGGAGGGGGCGTTTTTCTGATCATTGGGATGAGCCGAGAGCATCCCATCTGGCGGAATCAATCCGGATTGACCGTCCTCTTGGCTTCAAATCCAAAAGTCTAGGGGTTGATTCCCCATTCTTTTCAACCATCGTTCTTTTCAATAACCAGTTTATGCCCAGGGTTTTTTTGTGGTTTTCTGGAAAGATTCGGATCCCTGAGTTCAGAATGGACATGGAAGCTACCCCTAGAAAAAGGGGAGCTCTTTGATTCAGTGGCGAGGCCTTGAGCAGTTCATTTCAGAAGGATTTTGCGGGTCCTTGGAATGCTTCACACGTTTCATGGTTGTCGTTGGGAAACATTTTACATGGTTTAGTGGAAAATCCCCACTTAACTGCCAAAATTTAAGTTTTTGCTCCCCTTCCAACGTCAACCAAGATTTGGCTTGAAGCTGACCGCAAGTTGCCTTGTCTTTGCCACGTTCGACCTGGTGGGTTAATGGTAGGGAGCCAACCTCTGTTGCCCCAGGTAGAACCGGGCTTAGATCTTTTGGTTTCCCTTTTAAACCAACCTAAACAGGGTACCCATGGCGGGAAATGGAGGTTCCTTGCCGTCCTTTCAGGTTTGGAGAGTTTCAGGGTTTAGTGGGGGGGTTTTCCATTCAGCCCACTACAAGTTCAACTTTTAGCAGGGGATCTGAGGAGAGCCCGGCCTCAGGGGCGGATCTTTTGGCGCGTTCGAGGGCCGAGTCGCCGTCAGGAGGATCAGGAAAACGCTGTCCGGGACGCCGGCGGCGTGGGCGCGATGCTGCGGCCGGGGAGCAAGGTGGATGACTTGATGAAGGCCAGGTCCGCGTCTTTCTTTTTCCTCTTTTCGCTTTGGGGTCCCTGAAGCTTTTTGTTGCAGACCCACGGCTTTTTGGGTGGAAAGGGTGTGTGTGTGTGTGTGTGTGGGTGAAAGGGTTTTGGAGGCCTTGTCACAAGACAGATGGAGGGCCTCAATGGCGCGCCGTGCTAAAGCAAGGCCCAAGCGAATTTTCCCTCGATGTCCTTTTTTTCTTACCAAAAGGCGGGGTTAAGACTAAGCAAAGGATGCCATCCACTTTTCTTTCGCCCAACAGTTCAGTTTGCTTGGCATTGAGCAAGCCCTGCTTTTCCGACCTTACTCTTCTTGTTTGGGCAAAAGCAATCAGCGACGTCGAACAAAAAGAACCTGTCCCCTTTTAACCAACCCAGCGGGCGGACGGTTCAAGATTGCAAGGCTCTCTACGCCAGCTGGCATCTCCCACAAAAAGAAAGAAAGAACAAAAGCTCGGGGGTCCCCAAAAAACGAAGAAACCGGGACCCGCCTTCTTGTGTCTTTGTCCTGAACCACCCCCGAAAAGGGTGCCGGGAACCAAACCTCAGCCCCAAACCTTTTGGGGTCGCCTTTCTTTCTGGGAACTCTACGGGACCCCCCCAAAATTCTGGTTTCCTTGGAGGCTTTCCTTTCCCCCCCACCCGAAACGGTTTCGTGGTTTGGCTCGACGAAACCCGAACAGCCTCGAGAAAGAAGCTCTCAGCGCCAGGAGCTGCAGGAGCTGATTGGCCTGCAGAGCGTCAAGTCCGGGATCTCCGCGCTGCGGGATTCCGTGGAGTTCGTTCCCCGGCGCATCCGACTGTAGGGGGAATCGCGGGAAGCGGGCGCCGGGGGAGTCGCTGGAGTCGCTCTCTCTGGTTTTTTTGTTGGTTTTGGGTTGGGGTGGGGGGTGGGGTGGGGTCCGAAATGCGCCTGAGCACCTGGGTGCAGTCAAAGATTTGTCTCTGCAGTGGCCAGTGGTTGAAATAAACGGCAGCCAACGAAAGCCTACCATTTCGGGGAGTCCAACCTCAAAAAGCGACGAGCCACAGGTAGCGCGCGACATCCGCTTGCTTGTGTCGCGTCTGCTTCGGCGTTTTCGCTTCAAGGACATGTGGCGACGGAAGTTCCTGGGGGAGCACTGGTCGCTGCTGGGCCAGAGCTTCCACATGCGTTTCCTGGGGAACCCGGGCACCGGGAAGACGGTGGCGCCTCGGGCGAACGGAAAAACAACGCCCAAACCCAAAAACGGGGTGGGGGGCGGGGGTCCTCCGCCTTTTTGGCCGGAGGTTTGTTTCTGAGACCAAGTCTGTTAGATAAGCCCGCTAAAATGGGAGGATAATGATTGGCCGGCCTAGAACCTTGGGTTGAAGGCAATATTTTTAGAAGCCCTTGAAATTGAAAGCACATGGGCTCAACTACCCCTCGTGAATATGGGCGTCTCTATGAGGCTACACCCCAGAATTGCCTTTCAAACCACAGCCCTCAATTGGTTTGGATGGCGTGGTTCCGTTTCCAATTCGATGGGAGGAGAACCCAGCCCCAGCCCCAAGCCACTGAGGGCCGAGAGAAAACGGCCGAGGCTTTCGATGGCGGCGACTCAAAAAGGAGATGCGGATGGGCGCAATCCCTTGGCACCACGAAATGAAACCAAGGTTGAAACCCGAACGTTTGTTGGTATATTCAGGGGAATCGAATCAAACACCAGCTGTTTCTTAGGTGCGAAATGGAGTTCGCCCATCCACGGTATGGCCACCCAAAAGGAGATGTGTGCATGACTCTTAAGAGTTGGAACCTCACAAGAGGTTCGTGGACATGCATCCCCACCGAATCTGCATCCATCTATGGACAGGCATCCCTCTGAAACTGTTGCTTTCGTAGCGAGTACCTCTACGAGAAGTGTTTTTCTGTCATGGGGACTTTCCCCCCGCAGCAGACTTCTTTCCATTTGACTCTCCGAGGTGGCCCGCATCGTGGGGAAGATCTTGGTGGAGCTGGGTGTGGTGAAGCACGAGGAGAGCGGGTTCTTTCGCCCCTAGCCATGCCCATCTCGTAGTGAAGGGGCCGTGCATTGATCGGGGGCAAGTGGTTTATGTCTTCCTCCTGACTGGATGGGACCATCCATCTGTGCTCTATCGTGCTGGCCTGAGTTGATTTTGGTCTCACTGTGTGAGTAACAGTCAGTTTCCACCTTAGGGACCCCTTAGGGACCCCCCTCTAGAAATTCTGACAGAGAATTTCCTTGCAGCATCCCAATATCCAAAATGCCCCTGGTACAACCAACAAGCAACGAGGACGCGGACGAGGGCTTCGTTTTCAAGGAGGTGAGCCGCGCGGATCTGGTGGGCGGCTATGTGGGGCACACGGCGCCCAAGGCCGGGCCGCTGCCTGAGGGTTGAGGCGGCTCTGAAAGGGCCAGCGGGGTGATCGGAATATGAAAGTTGATGTGGCCAAGGTAACATGGTTGTTGTTGGGAAACATTTTGACCATTTTTGCTTATTGTGGTTTAGTGGGAAAGCCCCACTTAGCTGCTAAAATTCATTTTTTTTGCTCTCCTTCAACGTCAACCAAGGTAAGGTTGACCGAATATGAATCAACCCTAGCTTAGTAACATGGGAACCCTAGTTTTTGGGTATGGGGGTGGGGGCCCCTCGAAAAGTGGTCTGAATCGCCCCACTAAACCCAGGGACAATCCCTATATGAAGAAACTGGGGTTGATCTATATGGGGTAAATATTAGATGAAGGAGAAGGGACAGTCCAACCACAAAGCGACATCTTGGGTAGACCATTTTATCTCCGTTGCCCGAAGCGAATCGACCTCTTGACCTTTTGGTTTCCCTGGTTTGGTCCAAATTTCGTCAAGGTACCAAAAGTTTAGGCTTCTATTTCCAGGTCCTTTGGGCAACTGAGGAAAATGGGGGTGTCCGGTTTTCGGCCCCTTCTAGGCCTGCTTTAAAGGGAAACGAAAAGGGGCACCGCCCATTTTGGGGTGGTTTCCTGACTGTGAGACCATCCCAAACGGGGACCGTATGTGTCTGACTAGGAAAACCAACAAGCTGTGTTTGTCCTTCTGGCTTCCCTTTAAGCCAACCTCAAAACAGCTACCCTCAACCATCGCACAAGCCCTGTGAATTTTAAACATGGTGAACACTTGAGACACATGCTTGGTGGACGAAACGAAGAATTAAATGCTTACCAAAGGGTAGTAGTTCAGATTCAAGATTCGTGACACTCCCCTATTCATCCTGCATTCCCACTGACTTGGACATCCGCGTGCGATACTGTATGATAATCAACCAACCAGGTTAATTAATCCGGGATCAACGTTAGACCACGGGTTCACCCCAAAAAAGACTGTGGGATTCAGTGATCCTAGCCTATTTCTTTTTAATAGAGGAGGGTTTCGTAAATGGGGCCATACGGCCATTCTGTAGGGTATACACTCCATTTCCCTCCGGGGGTGTGGTTTTGGGGGGTGGAAGCTACCTTCCCCCCAACACCAGTTTGGCTTTCGTGAGCCACCCTAAACCCACCCTGGCACACCGATCCGACGTGTCGTGAAAAGCCTCTAGGCGGAGTATGTTGATTCGCTGTGACCATGAACCTGCCCCTGCCACCCCAACCGCCTAACCCCCCAACCCCCCAACCCCCCAACCCCGTAACCCCGTAACCCCGTAACCCCCAAACCCCCAAACCCCCAAATCCCCAAACCCCCAAACCCCCACCCCCAAACCCCCAACCCCTCCCCCTCTTCCCCCCCCTCCCCCTCTTCCCCCCCCTCCCCCCCTTCCCCTCCCCCCCTTCCCCTCCCCCCCTTCCCCTCCCCCCCTTCCCCTCCCCCCCTTCCCCTCCCCCCCCTCCCCCCCTTCCCCTCCCCCCCTTCCCCCACCCCCCCTCCCCCGAAACGTGCCCACCCTGCCTACACTTTTTGGCGCATGTGGATCCCCCCGGCTGCCGCTTGCCGCTTGCCGCTTGCCGCTCCGGCCGTCAGACGTCAGGTCCAGGCGGCCGTGAAGAGCGCCTTCGGCGGGGTGCTCTTCATCGACGAGGCCTACTCGCTGATCCAGGGGGAGCGGGACTCCTTCGGCCAGGAGGCGGTGGATACCTTGATCAAAGAGATCGAGGACCACCGGGACAAGGTGCGGAGCAAATCAGACCAGACGCTGTGTTTTTTTTGTCAGTCCCCGTTTTTGTTTCTGTTGTAGTAGCGTGGCTGGTAAATCCGTAGTTATTTGGTTTCAGTTCTTTTCGCTGTTCTGCTGTAGTAGCATGGTTTGCACATCCGCAGGGCGCTGTTCTCTTCGGCACATGGCTAGCCTTGTGAACAGATGGGTGAGGGGGCCCCAAGCTCAATAGCCCCATTGCAACAGCATAGGCAGGATTTGGTCCATCTGATTCTGACTTTGTGACCCTCGTACCCTCCCACCAACTAACATGGAAGTGCAAAAAGGCCAACTAGCCAAGAGGAAAGTAGTTTCTACGGGGGTCTGTGCACTTCTGTGTTAGCTGGTGGGAGCGTACTACATTTGTTGTGCAGATTGGACACTCGTAATCTGAAGCAAGTCAAATATTTTTGCGACCTTCGAGGTTCCATTCTTTGAGTCCCAGTTCCCCAAAGGGGTGTTTTGGTTTTGCCGGGTTTAGGCCCAGCTCAATAATTGAACACGTGCATAGGTGTCCTGTTGATCGGTTCGTGTGCTCAAACAGATGGCCCTGGTTTAGTTGGGTTGCATGTGTCCTATGGTTGGATAGGGGCCGCCAATCCCAATAGGGGCTATTGGCGACTAATAAGACCTATTAGGGGCTAATGGGGTTTCTTGTTTGGGGACATTGACAACCATGGGGATTTAGCAGGGACACCCATCAACTTTTTTTCAAAAGGACACCTAGGGTGACACTCTCATTGCCTTTACTAGGGAAACCCCATCAACTTACTTTTCCAAAAACCCATCTGCGTGCTTTCAGCAACAGCCGACCCCCCCCCCCGCTGACGCGGCTCAGGTCATAGTGATCTTGGCGGGGTACCACAAGGAGATGGAGAAGTTCTTTGACTCCAACCCCGGGTTCCAGAGCCGGGTGCCCTTCCGCTTCGACTTCGCGGACTACAGCTGCGAGGCTTTGGGGCCTCTGGGGGTGGGAAAGCCCCGTGAACCAAAAAGAAAGAAGCGAAGGAGGTGGTCTGGGGTGGGAAACCCCGTGAAAAAGGAGAACGCGAAGAGGGTGAGGTTGCTTGAGGTGCTGAGTGCATCCCAAAAGGAGGAAAGTGGTCAGGGTGAGGTTGCTTGACGTGCTGAGATTCCAAAAGAAAGCCAGAGCGAGTGGAAGGGGCCCAGTACAGTTAACATCCATTTGGTTCAAGGCACTGCTTTTGAACAACACAAGGAACACCACATAAATGACTCATACTCCTTGGTTTGAATGGCAATTGTTAACACCTTTTTTTTGAACCGCCACGTGGCATGCTCATATTTCTGTACTCATGCTCCTGCTTTCCTTGAACATGCCCTTTGGTTGTCCAGATAAATTTGTCGTTTTTGAGTGAACCACCCTCTTGGTAAGGCTTTCCAAAAGGAACTTAGAAGGAAGCCAACCAGTTTGGGCTAACCCTAATTTCGAGACAAACTGGTGTGACGTGTTTTTTGGGCAACACCCCGCCTTTCCATTTGCCAGTTGGAGACAAGCTCTTTCCATGCATACCCTTCTTTCTTGGGTATTGCGGGCACTTTTTCGGTGGGTTGTTGGAAGGTGCGGTATTATGCCTCTACACCTTACATGCCACCAGCTATTTGTGCCCTTCCGTTTTCCACATGTCCTTTTGGCCGTCTCACCTTGAAAGCCAACAGGGGGGTCCCCGCCCAAGCGAAGGTCCAGTCCACTTCAATTCCGTGAGGAGCTGGCGAGGATGAGCACCTTGAGCCTCACCAAGCAGAATGTCACCCCGACCTCTGAGGAGTGGGACCCAACATGTGCGTGTGTGTGTGTGTGTGTGTGTGTGTGTGTGTGTGTGTGTGTGTTTCTTCTTTCCGGGACCATGGCTTCGGCTTTCCGGCTGGTTTCTTCCCTCCCATCCCAGCTTCCTGGGCGAGTCTTGTTTGGAAGCCAGCTTCGGCTCTGACTCCTGCAACTCCTTGGTCGAAAGGGGAATAATTCTGGGTCTAGTGGGGGTTCAGACCACTTTTTTGCAAATTTACAGGAATAAACTGGGGTTGATTGGTCGAAATTTGCTACAACCGCCTTTGGTTCAGTTCTCCTTCCCCCAGAAAGCCAAGATTTCACCCTGCAAGGGGTTGAAGATCCACATGACTTCAGATGAGTCCTGAAACAACCCCACCCAAGCAGACGACTCCCCGGCCAACCTCCAAAAACACACCCGAACCTTCAATTGTGTCTTTCCTTTTCTGCTCTTAGCCGCCAAACGATTCACCCGTTAAGACATCCAAGAAGAAGGTGGATTCCCCAAGACACCTCCTAAATGGCCTTACAGGCCCGTAGTTGGTTTCGGTTGGTTGGGGGGTTGACATGCCTTGCAGCCTGAGTGGTTTGGACTGGTGGCTGCACTTCGTTTTGGTTTTATGGAACAACACCTCCATCCGATTTGGTTTCCTTTCTCTTTTTTGGCTTCATACACGACTTTCTGGCATTTCCTAGCCATCGCCTGGGGTGCCTTCCGTTTCTAATTATTTGGTCCTAGCAGATCACATGCAACATAGTTGTATAGACACAACAATAAAGACGAGCAAAACAAAACACAATGCATATCTTTGGTTCATTATGTTGGTGGTTGATTGTGTCCACATGTGGTGGTGAGCAAAATAATCACCACAACCACACCGAGCAAGACAAAACACCGTTTTTGTTGGTGCTGCTTTCCTCAGTTGTGTTTCTTCTTCTTTTTTTTCCATTTTTTTGTTTAATCGTTTTGTTGGTGGCTCATCCCTCGCTTCGTTTTTCCGCAGGCCGAGACTTGGCTCTCCAAGATGGTAGTGGCCAAGACGGGCTGCTGCGCCCAGGCGGACCTGGACGCCGGGCGCTGCGGCGGCGCGGCCCGGGACAACGGCAACGGCCGCGCGCCTTGGCTCCAGCGCGAGCGCCAGCGCTTGCGGAGGGGACGGGGGCGGTGGGTTGTTTTGGGCCCTTTTCGTCCATGGGTATCATGGTTGTCGTTGGGAATCATTTTACATTTTTGCTTATTGTGGAATTTAGTGGGAAATCCAACCACTTTACTGCTAACATTTTTCAATTTTTGCTCCCCTTCCAACCTCAACCAAGGTATGGGTCAAAATTAGACCACCAGTAATTGGACCGCAGGGTTTAGTCTATGTTTTTCCATTTACCAGGGTTCCATTTTGGGGTTAGCGTATTTTCGACCCACTGCCCCATTTGGTCATTTTTTTGTTTTTTTCCCTTGTTGGTTTTAAGGGGAATCGAACACTCGCTACTGGAAGATGTGTATTTTTTCCAGGGGACTCAAGGTTTTTGGGTGGGTGGCTCTCTATCCCTAGGCTTTAAGGGGGATTCCCTACAGAAAAGGCCGTGGTTTCCGGTTTTTGGAGTTGGTACCTTTTTTTTGGGCTGGGTTTTAAAGCTGGCCCGGGTGGTGGGATCACTCGGGGTTTATCCAACCACTCTGATGCTTTTGGGATTCTTCTCTTCATATGGTGTTAGTCTTCGGGGTTCGGCCCTTTCTGTTGGTATCAGAAGTGGTCATGTTCCACCTGTTTAGGGTTTTTTAGGTGGGTTTTGAAAGGGACACCAAGACGAAAACCACTCATGGCCGGGGATCAAGTTTAAAGGGGCTTAAGAATATGTTTTACTTTTCCCTGTTGGTTTTCAAGGGAATCGATTTCACTCTTGGACATCCGGAGGTCCGCTTTTTGGAGTTGGTACCCCTTCTTGGGCAGGTCTTAACAGGGAAACTAAGAGGAAAACCACTCATTGTGGGGGAACCCTAAGCCAGAAGCACCTAGGGATCAACCGGGGGAGAAAAATCCGGGGCGCCCATGACCGATTCGTGTAGGGAATATTGTAAAGAGTGGGGATAGAGCAGCCCGCTTGGTATCAGATTTCCCACGGCAGATTGGGATCAGTACTTTTGGCCGGAGACCCACGTTGTCCTTTCAACTTGGTGGCTCCCAACCATATTTTTGGGTGTTAAGCTTTTAGGGTTTGGTGGTTGGATTTCTATGTTTAACCCACCAAAAGTGAAATTGTCCATTTAACCCACTAAATGTTTAACGACTTTTAGCAGAAACAAAAACGCCCAGTAACTTTTGAACCGCCATTTGCGAAGCCACTCAACAAGTGGACACTTTTCCCGGGTCGCGCTCCCGGGAGCAACGACAAAACCACCCCCAAAGCGGCACACACACACACATACACACATATATATATATATATATATAACGCGGCCAGAAGGGTCCACCATTTTCTGACCCCATACATGTGCCATAATCCCTTCGGATCCCTTGATGCGAGTCCTTATAGCCTCCAATGGAACCTGATAGAGGGTCCTGGAAGATTATTCTCCTCTAAATTTTGGGCAGGAGGGTGCTGGCTGCTGTCTGAACTTTCTAAAGGGTTCATGACCGTCCTTGCAAAGTCAAGTCGACCCTGGAAAAGTAGATTTGGCAGATACATGGGGTGGTATTTTCTCCAAATGTGAAAGAACCTCCTTAGAACACGAAACTCCGCCAGAGACACACGAGGTTCGGTCAAAGCATCCCGCAATCCATGGCCAATACGGGAGGGACATTGGGGGACTCACAAAATCCCTTGGGAGGATCCTCCATGGTTCTCACTTTGGGTAGCTACAGATTTGGGTGTGTCTTTTTTTTTAGGGGAGGCCAAAAATGGTGGTTTCCTTTTGGTTTCCTTCGAACAACCTCCACAAACATGGGGTGCTTTCTCAACCAACGGCACCCCCTTTTGGCATGGCCTTTCGAACCCCACTCTCACACACACACACACCCATTGAGACAAATCTTGTTTTCACCACATGGGTGGCTCCCCATGGTTTGGAGGTATCCGAAGGGAAGCCAAAAGGAAAAGCTCACCCGTCTTGGGGCTCCAAATCCGAAAACAAGATGCAAACCACCCGTGGAGGCTGTGCGGAACATCCTGGAGTCCTCCCTCAGGCGGGCGGATCCTGCAATGGAAATGGGAAGCTTAGGGCTCGTCCTCCCCTATTGTTGGTGCGACATACAGAGAGGATCCTATGTCCCTTCCAAATTGATGATAAACTGGATATTTTGATTGGACAGTCCTGTTTTCAAGAGAGCAAAAGGATGACAGCCTACGACATTAGGCATTAATAGAGGACCAGGTGAATGTCATCATTTTCTTGGTTTGATTGCCTCCATCGTCCATTGACAAGCTTGTTCTTGTTTCGTTCCTTTGGTTTTAAATATGGGTTTGGCTGGTCTTTTTTGAGGGTGTCCCTTTTCAGGTTGTTTTTGAATTTGACACATACCCAACAGCCTCTCGCTCCTGTGGCCAAAGTGAGAGTCACTCCAGGTCTATTCGAACCCCAGACTGATGGGTGCGAACTCCATTTCGCAGCGTTCAGAAACCCAACTTTGAATATAATATGACTCCCCAAAGGAACAATATGGCTGTGGGTCAAAACCCTGTGCCCCTGGTGAACGTCAAAATAGGTGGCAAATGGATGTTCATCCACCCCAAAATGGCTCGCCATAGGTTATGCCCCATGGCCATATTGTGGGCGGTTGGAACTCCATGCGTTTCATTTTTTGGTGCGAGGTCTGGATTTCGTGCAGCTTTTACCATGGCAATGGCCATGAGCTCATCTCAAGGGACCCATTGGCTTGGGGCACCCTGAAACAGAGACAGCCCTGGTCCAGAGCAATTTCGGGGAAGGCCGAAGGCTCTTCGGCGCTTTCCACATAGCTTTTTCTTCTTTTTGCAAAGCGCCGCTCAGTCGACACATTGGGAACGTGTCAGTGGAGTTTCAGCCAGGAGCACACTCTGGGTCAGGGTGGGAAGCAGGGTTTCAAAGCAAAACGACGAAGTAGTCAGTAGGAAGCGAATCACCACTTGGGCATCACAGAAAGGGCTGCTTTCCGAATCACGCACCCCAGCTTTTACTGTGACCCTTCAGTGGGCCCTGGCTCTCTCCCCAATCCCTGCTCCCCCTCGCATCCTAGTTTGTTTTCCCAAACACACGGACCATCCTTCAGATTGTTATCAAAGTCAGAACTGATAGGGGTCGTTTCCCCACAAGGGGGCGGATGTTTGGTCCTTCCCCTTTCTTTTCGTTGCCCCACCCCGTATTTGGCAACATATCAATGCATATTCATTTTTATGAATGTTGCTAGAAATACGGCCAGCCCCTGAGGTTTGCCGGCGCCCGGAACCAACGCCCCAACACCAAGACCCGGAGATCACGAAGCTCCGACCCGCCTGAAGCATTTTGTCTGCGCTGCCACTGTTGTTACTTTGTCACGATTCGTAAAGCCAAGCGCAGCTAAACCATAAAAACCCTAAACCTAACCCTAAAAACCCTAAACCTAAACACTGAAAGCCCTAAACCTAAGCCTAAAAACCCTAAACCTAAACCCTAAAAACCAAACCTAAACTTTAACAACCCTAAACCTAACCCTAAAAACCCTAAACCTAAACACTGAAAGCCCTAAACCTAAGCCCTAAAAACCCTAAACCTAAAAACCCTAAACCTAAACCCTAAAAACCCTAAACCTGAACCCTAAAAACCCTAAACCTAAGCCCCAACAATTCTACACCTAAAAACCCTAAACCTAAACCCTAAAAACCTAAAACCTAAACCCTAAAGACCCTAAACCTAAATCCCAACAACCGTAAAACCCTAAACCTAAACCCTAAAAACCATAAAGCCCCAAACCGAAACCTAAACCTAAAACCCTGAACCTGCCTGCCACCCACGCCCTCGCGGTACCACGGCCCTACGTTCTGAAGAGAACGGAGGTCACCACGTGTCAAATATGGCTGCACGAGTTCTGCTACTTGACTAGTAAAGGGTGCCATACTTGAACCACGTGCTGCAGGAACTCGAGTCACCTGGGCATGGGCAGGACAAGCGTGGATTAGGGGGTGACGGCAAACCTCGGGGGCTGTGGGTAGAAATACGTTTTCGGGGTGCAAAGTAAACGTCCTTCCCACTGGTTCCAGGGGAACCGGGTCACACAACCCTTCGGAAACTTGCAAAATAGTGGTTGTATGTCCCAACCCGAGCTCTAGAGGCGGTTCGAGCTGGAAATCTTAGATTCGCCCTTTCCGTCACCCAACAACATCCGGTTTAGTCATTTCCCTCGCCCAAGAACGGCTTCTTCTTCCTCTCTTTGGGTCCCCTTCCCTCAAAACACCATCATTTCGTGGTTACATGTCAGCTCCACCCTCATTTGCCTCCTTGTGTTCCCCGTTGGGCTCCTTTTTTTCTTCTTCTCCATTCCGGGACACCGGACACCACAAGGCGACCAGCCCCCGTTGAAACTGCGGTCTTTGGCGCCTTCTTCTCCAAGCCCCTCCCACACCCATCATGGATCAATCTCAACCCCTCGTTTCACCCAAACCCCTCCGGAACACCCCCCAGATGTTTCATGGATACATCAGACAACCCCTGGTTTTCACCCAAACCCTCCGGAACACCCCAGCTGTTTCGTTTCACAGATCCAAAAAACAAATCCCTTGTTTTCACAACCGAAGCGAACAACACATCCTCCTCCCTCCGCTTTTTTCCCGCCTCCGCCTCCTCCGCTTCGCCGAGGGCCATGTCGGTGCGCGCGGTGTCCAGCCCCTTCAGCAAGCAGATGGTCACGGAGCTCCGGGACTCCGACGTGGCCGCCGTGGGCGGGGAGCTGCTCGGGGAGGCGAAGGGGGGGAGAAGGCGGCCGTGCGCCGTGTGTGCGCGCAACGAAGCTACGGTTGCAGATGGGAAGGGAACTGGGACGCCAGCTCCTGTACCTGCCCGTGCAAAGTCCTTTTGGTCCCCCCACTTTAATCGCTGTTGGTTGTCGCGGCGCTGTTAAAGTGGCCAGAGTGAAGCTTGATTTCCAGACTTCGCCATTTCAAGTAGGCTGAGGACAGTTTTTCCAATTTTCCATTTTCCATTTACTTTTGAACGACTCGCTAGGAGCTGAGGTTTCCTCATTCAATGACTACCTGCACTTCTCCAGATGTGACTTTGAAATAAGCAGTGTGTGTGTGTGTGTTGTTTTTCTCGGCGGAGAAGTGGGGAGAAAAAGGCGGTGAGTCTATTCTCCCAGTTTGTTTGTGTGTTTGTTTGTTTGTTTTTTAAGCGGAGGGGTGGGGAGAAAAAGGCGGGCGAGTCTATCTACCCTCCCAGTTCACGTGGAACCTGACGTTGGGCGGCTCCTGGTTTGGATCATGTTTCCTAAGTGAACCCCAGGTTAGGTCGCATGTTTTTTGGTGGGAGGTTACCTTCACTGTTGTTGGATGCGTCTTTGCTCTTTGAAGTTTTTACGACCTTTTTGTTGTTTTTTGCCATGACTTTTGTCCATTTTGTTTTTGGTTCTGTTCATTCATGTTTAATGAGGGGCTGCAAAAGCACACATTTTGGCTACCATACCAATGATTTATACCTCGCAGTCATGGAGCTGACACGAAAACCACTTTGAGGAGGCCCCCTCCCTCCACCTCAATGATTGGTGGGGCAGGGTACCCAAGACAGATTTGCCTTTGGCTGTCCGTTGTGCAAAAGGTTATTTTTTGGTACCTAAGAAACACCACAGGTTTTGCGCCATATGTTGTAGAGGCAGTTGAGTCAATCACGATGTCATTGCTGGTCTTTTGTTGGTTTGGGAAGAAGGCAAGACAACCCCAACGTACCCCACAAAAACCTAGGAAAGGGAACAACCCCCAAGCCCCCAAACCCAGGCTCATCCTTGTAAACGAAAAACGTGTCACATCCAAACCCTTTATTCCGGACCTTTGGAGCTAGGTGCTTCCTGTCGGTTTTCCTTTTAAAGCCATGCCGAACAGGGGTCCAACTCCCAAAAACTTGCGACACAGCCGCCAGTTCGCGGCCGGAGTTTGGTTCAGGCGCTGCGGGGAACCTGCAAGATGAGCCAAGCGCCGGTGCCGGATCTGGAGCTGCTCACAGGCGGTGGGTGCCCGGGGGCTGTGGGGCTTGGGCCGTTTGGAGGTTTCCAGTCGAAGCAAGTGAAAAACGACCAGAACCATAGGTGTCGTTTTTGGTGGTTTTGGTGGAAAAACAGATGGCAATTCCGTACCTGGTGGTTGAATCATCTACTCATCTACCAGGTCCATCTATTTCCTCTGAAAGGACACCTATGACCAGAAGTCTAGGGGTGGATTCTCCATTCTTTTCAAAAACCGGATCCGTTTTTCCTGCGGAGGCTTTCTAGAAAGGAGGATCCCTGGAAAGAGTGGGGAAGGTACCCCTGGAAGAAGTCGTTGTTGATGTTGATCCCAAACTCACAAATTTCAGTGTATTTTATCCAGGGGGTGGGGAGGGGTTGTGTTTTGCTGTGGGTTTCGCGGGGAATCATCAAAATCCGGGAGCGGCGCCCACCCCGCTATGAATAAACAGGGGTTGATGAATCCGGGCTCAACATTGCCCCGCTGACTATGGTGGACTTGCCAAAATGAGCAAAGTAGCACCGCCAGTTCCTGTGGCTTCGGCACGGGTTTTGACATGACCTGGGTGTTGGCTCAGCCTGGCATTTCTCGGAAGACACATTTCGGCGTTTGGCTGAAATTTCACCCCTATTTTTGCTTATGTTTAAGCAAAACTAGCCTCTTGAACCTTTTCTGGGATTCATCGCTAGTGCTTTCCCTATGAGAACGGATCTATGCCTTCCGAGGGCGGAGCCTCGAGCCTCGAGCCAGGCTTGAAGGGACCCAACAAGAGCTTCTCCCGTGGCCATTCACAGGTCCAAGAACTGGGCTGAAAGTTTGGATCTAAAGTAGTTGTTGGGATGGAACTCGCAGCGAAGCTGTCACAGATTCCAGCTGATTTTCCCACAATGTTCATTTTCTTTAGGGTGGTTCAACTGTCACTTTTAGGCGAAGATGGCGCAATTGCCCCGCGTTGGCTTTCCATTTGGTTTCCCTAGCCAAGAAGCTTACCAACTCCAAGAGCGCGCAGGGCCTATGCGGGTGTTCTCGAAGCTGGGGCGTCGCTAAGGACCAACTCCCTCAAGTAACCATCCAAAAAGGGGACCGATTGAGATCTTGTTCCAAGGTGAGAAAAACAGGTTCCAAGGTCGAACACAACATGTCAAGGTGAAAGAAAAAGGGGTGCCAAGGCGAGAAACAACAGTTGTTGCCCTTGGTGGTTCCCAGCCATCCGGTTCCTTGGCCTTTCAGATCTTTTCGTTTTTCGTGGCATGTCCGAATTTCTTCCACT